AGGAGCCAACCGCACATTTGTGGTTTCAGTTGATAGATCTCGTGTTCACAAGAAAACTATCAAAATCACCACGGAGGCAGCTATAGCTACCTGCGTGACATCCGGGTCCAGGAAATAATATAAATACGAAGGTTATCGAGTGTCTTGATATAGATAAAGGAGTTTTTTAATCGGACATAGCACTCGAGGAAGTGGCAAACCATAGACACGTGTTTCGGGCTTTTGGCCCATCATCAGTATGGTGCAGCCAAGTGTAAGGATGGGCAACACTTGGTTATCAGAAGAAATAAATACAAATGCACGGAGCCACCAGCAGGTTCTCGAAAAAAGAGAGATCATCGCTAACAACGCACCACAGTAAGCCCCCTCACTTGTATGGACTACCCAAAATCCACAAAAAGGATTTTCCTCTCAGACCGAACATTAGCTCCAGAGATTCAGCCACTCAGAACTTGTTCAGATTTTTACTACCAATAATTAAACCACTGCAAGGTGAAACATCATCTTTTGTGAAAAATTCAAGGCATTTCGTTGAAGTACTAGGAAAAATCGAAGTCAAAGAGCAGGATCAACTGATCAGTTCGACGTGGAAAGCATCAACACCAACGTTCCTGTCAAAGAAGCACTTCAAATCATACAGAAGAAGCTATCCGAAGATTGGGACCTGAAACATAGAACAAACTTACCGATACAAGTAATCATGGAATTACTAGGATGCTGTGTACGAAACTGGTAAGAATTTTTTCTGTGTACCTGCTTCATCAGACATGCTTTGATTTTCAGCGATATCTTCGTTACAAATATTCACCAAATTTGTTTTTCTTTTTTTTGAACAAACAGTGGAGGTTTAGATGTATGTGCCGTCGGTTTATCAATCTGGCAATCAAATATATGCGGCATTACGCCTGGTTTCAATATAGTTTTTCCCACTTTCATAGTTTTGATATACATGTAACTTTCTCAGTCTTTTTGAACCTAAAATTCGAAGTAGTGTTCAGAGTAAACGGTAATTTTTTTATTAATCATTATCATTCATAGTTACATTAAAATGATTTTCGCAACGGACATGAGTCCCCTTGGCAGATACAAAGTCGCCCCTCTGTATAGCGCCGTGCCATAACTTTCGTAATTTTAAGTTACTTGGCAATGAAATAAAAATTTTGTCTGGTGCAGTTACCGAAGAATTCTTGCATTTAGGAACAATGCAATACTTGTAACGTCCTGTTTTATCATGCAGTAAACAACACACAATTTGCGTTCTACTGCTTTAGCACACGTATTTCGCTTATCCGCCAACACTCCTTTGTCGCCGAATCGACTGATGTGACGTTAAGCTTGACCACGCCCCGTTTCGGTTAACGCCACATTCAACTATAAATTTGAGGGGGAAGATAAAAAGTTAAAATTCAGATTTTTTGCAGATATACTATTTGAAACATAAACTTTCAAATAATGAAATAAAAAATGTGTTGAATAAGCCCATTATCAGTGAAGGATGCTGTTGTTTATGATACACAAATGGTAGGGATAGTGACTGTATTCAGAGCTGGATGGAGCAGAACTGTTAGTGAAGTCCATAGCTGTAATGAAAATATATACAGTTTTGGCAAAATCTAGGGAGCTACATTGAGGTTATAAACAAGATTCTGGAAACCTCGCCTCTTATTAATTATCTTTGTTTTAAATACTCCCAAATACCTTGGAAAAGGTAATGTTAATGTGGAGGTAACATTCGAATCATTTGGACAAGTTCAAGAAAGTATCTATTCATATCAGATTTATTTTATAAAATCAAAAGGTTTCGAAATGTAGTCAAATATATAGGTCAATTTTTCCACAAGGGATCTGACAAGTTCTTCGGTTTTTCATAAAACATATAAGTTCGAAACCTATCAAAACACTAAGGGGTGCTTCGACGACATAATTTGCAGAGTTTCACCGCCACCCTCTAACTTTGCATCATCAATCTGTTGCATGCGTCTCACGTCTCTCGATTTTTATCTAACAAATAATTTTATTTGCTGTTGGATATCCA